TATATATATATGAACCGGTTTAGAATCATTCTGAACTGCAGGCACAAGCAGATTATTCCCAGACTGTTAAAATGCCGAGAATCTTGCGCAACTGTTATTCCTCTCAACGCGATATTTTGGTTCTTAAATTTTAAATTAAAATTCCGCTGCCACTTATTACTCATTTTGCAATGGCCGGGCCTTATTTCATGGATTTGTGTAAAGTGTTTGTTGGAGAGAGGAAAGGGGGTGGGTGGGTAGTATGATGGGTTGGTATTAATTTGATGAGCGGTCACTTTGGATGGATGAGACGAGAAGGGATGATACTGTGTTTCTGTCCTCTGTTGACACCGTCATATCGTGACATTCCACGCATTTTGGGTTGAAAATTTGGTTTGAAAGAAAATGTGAAATGGCACGAGGTGAATGTTATTTAGCCTGAATCCAAAATGATCCATTTGCTGTGTTGTTAAGATGCAGTTTGATCGGAGGAATCAAAGAGAACATAGAAATACTCTTGATAGATATATTTGAAAAGATTCATACTGTTTTAATATAATTCTAGGTCATATTAGGTCAAATTAATTAGACGAATTTTATTGATTTTAATGTATATTTATCATCGGATAATGCTTTTAAGATGTACAATCTAAACTTGTGATTACTATTTCTTAGTTATTTTAACTTATTGGATATCTGCAATCTTCCCTACCATATCCTTCAGTGTATTTTTATCATTGTCCGATGTTTAAAATTAAATGAATATATGGTATAAAGAAAGTATTTTCATACTTTAATTACTTTTTCATATGTTAAGCTTCATCTGCCACATATGTTTGACATTTATTATACTTGTAATAATTTAGCTAGTAACTTAACCTATGTTATTTTGGAATTGTATATTAAGAAACCATCAGTAGAGGTATAACATGACGTAGCAAAATGAATAGCAGAAGTGTAGTTTTTTTAATTATCGTTTTAGTTCACATCATTCTTTAGGACTATTTATTTACGTGGTGTATAAATTAAATAGATTCGAAGTTGACAGTTATTACATAAAATAGTTCTTTTTTTTACATAAACATAAAATAGTTCTGTTGCTGTACGTAAATTAGTCTCTTTTCTACTATCACTGCAAATACTGATGCTTGCACTTGCAGTATAACCTTTGTCAGCAGCCGACACAATTCGTCTAGTTTTTGAATTTCTATCGTAGTTACAACTATAACTACAACAATTACAACTTTTTCACGCTTCTCACGCTTAACACAAATAAAAGGTGTCACGTAGGAAATGAGTTCGCTGCGCAAGCAAGTGGCAAAGAGCAATTTACCATCAGTCAGTGAAGATGGAAGTAACATTGAAATTGGGTAAGTTATTTGTGAGTCTCATATTTTGTCTTGAATATTCTTGTTATGATGTGATTAAAAGTGTTTGTTTTTAATAGTCTAGAATTCTGTCACCTTCTCGGGCAAATGGTTTAATTTTATGAAACTGAAAGTTACAGTTATAAAGAAGATTTTTTTCTGTCATTAGATTGAATGGATCTGATTTTTGAATGTTTAGTAATAAGTATAAGTGAGCAGAAATTTTTTAATGATAGTTTTCTCTTAACTTGAAGAATTTTAGAACAGATCCATCAACAAGTAGAGAGCCTCGTCGTGGTGGTACGATGGATGTGACACCACTTGAATGGAATGAATTTTTCGACAGGAAGCTTAGTGTGAACATTAATGACGACGTTTTTTGCGTTTATAGAAAAGGAGACACAGGACCTATGTTTTACATGCTTCATGGCGGTGGTTATTCTGGTCTAACGTGGGCAGCCGTGACAGTAAGTTCTCTTATCCTTGAACTCGGAATTTATCATTAATATAGTCCTCGCAATGGGAAGATTGGTCACATATGTAACAGTTATTAGTGAATCCTGTATAAATAGTATATTAGATCTGCCGGCTTTATTCAGTTGTCTTTTGTTTAGAATGAATTTCATCCCATTGATGAATAATGGTAGTTATAACTTTAGGAGGGACTTTTATCACAACTTCGTTGTCGAATAGTAGCACCAGACTTGCGTGGTCATGGTGACACAGTTACAACAGATGAACAAGATTTATCCACCGAACGTCAAATCGAGGATATTGTGGCTATACACAAAAATATATGTGCAGGCGAAATAATCCCGACATTTATAATAGGACATAGGTTAGCTTTTTGATATTCATGCAAAATATTTTCAAAAAATCGCTTCATTTATGAATTATTAATCGTCATTTTCACGTTGATTCTGAATTTCATTCTAGAAAAAAGTGTTGGCGTTATTTAATTTCTTTTTGTTCAGTATGGGTGGTGCCCTTGCGGTACATGTGGCAGCTAGTGGTCGTATGAAGGGTATAATCGGTATTGCTGTCATTGATGTTGTAGAAGGTACAGCTATGGAAGCATTGACAACGATGAAACATTTTTTGAAAAGTCGACCGCAAAAATTTGGCAGTGTTGGTGGTATGCCTATTTAGTTGTTTATTCTGTTGAAACAAAGAAAAAATCTTTGAAATGGACCAGAGGGACTAGGGAAAAAGTAATTTGCAATCTGTGACAGTTTTTGACGTTTGCTGTCAATGTCGCAATTAAACTAATTTAAATAAGAAATTAGGCCATTTAAGACTTTCAGATTGATATCATTTTTTAAGTTCCAAGGTTCAAAAACTTAATTTAATACATTTAAGCCGCAGTAGAATGGTGCTGTAAATCAGGGACGGCTAAAAATTCTCGAGCTGCTCGCGTATCTATGCCTTCTCAAATTAAAAAGACTGGCGATGTAAGTTTATTGTTTTGTTATTTTATTTTTACTTCCGTATTGGTTTTACGTGTTGTGAAAAATAAATCCTCCAAAGTTTTTTAATGTTAGTGTTAGGTTTTTGTAGTTGTACACATGGAGAATTGATTTGTCTAAAACGGAGCCGCATTGGGTTGGATGGTTCAAAGGTCTTTCTAAGCTATTTCTCAGCTGTCGTGTACCGAAACTTCTGGTTCTTGCTGGCATTGATAGGCTGGACACCGATCTAATTGTGGGTTTAATTCGTTATATTCTGTTTTTCTATTACTTTCTGTTTTTCCATTTCATGATTCTCCTAATTTTCACCATTTAAAATTCATGACGTAAAAAATTAATGTCGACTGCGTGAAAAAAATTTTTTTTGCCAGTTTTGACAACTTTACTTCAAAAGATTTGGATGGAGTGTAAGTTTCGTTAACTTTGTAGGTGGGACAGATGCAGGGAAAATTTCAAGAAACGATATTGCCGAAAGCAGGTCATGCTGTACAAGAGGATTCTCCGGAAGAGCTTGCCGATACGCTGGCAAATTTTGCATTTCGAAATCGATTTTGTTGTCCATGTTTTTCTTGACCGTATATATTAATGTGGATCGATGGTGGATGACAGGAAATTAATTTATTGTGTGGAAGTTTTTTTTTTTTTGTCTAAATCACTTTTGTTAAAACATTTTCAGATGTTGTTCGACTGTACGTTTCATCAAAATTAATTACATTTGAAAAAATTTTCAAGGATTCTTAATCTTATTATGTGTTTTTCACACTTTTTTTTATGCCTCATGATGATAATTTTGTGGTGCAATCGAAAGAAATGCGTCACAGAGCATAGTATTCTGCATTGTTACCATTTTCGTCAAATATGTATTCTGATCTAGTTAAGGTATGCGGAAGATATGGCACCTAAATTTGTATAATTTTTGTAAGAAAAATTCTCTGCAATTTGTGAGTGAGATATTTTAACTTTTTTAGTTATCAAAAAAATGCTCTATTATTATTATTATTCTGTGCCATTAGTGATTTGGAAAACTGTTCTATTCTTGAATTAATATTGATATTTCTTATGAAATGAAATTAAATAATTACTAGGATTGGAAACGTGTCAAAATAAGGAACTGACAAACCGTAGGCGTTCGTTCAGCATATGTGACATCAACATATGGTGCGAAGTTTTGCAATTCTTCTAGCTGATACTGTGATGGAATATGCAATTTTTGTGTCACATTATCCACTGAAATGAATTAAACAAATATTGCAGCAAGTAGCCTAGATGAATCATTCAGATTGGAAAAACATGAATTCCAAAATTTGATGCATTTCGTTCTTTTAACGATTTCACCGTGTTTTCTATGACGTCATGAATGTACAAATTTTTCCATATTTTTTCTCGTAAATGCGATCTTTAGCAGGAATTATGTAATACTGCAACAGCTATGCTTTCGTTAAATATTTTATAAATGTATATGATATATGCTACTTGAATTTTACAAAATGCTGCTTACCATGTTCAGCATTCATATCGAGCAGATGGTAGAAAGATGATGAAGCATGGATTTTATCCTTGCTTGCTTTGGAGCATGAAGCAGTTCCAGAATGATTGGTCCAAGTCCAGTTAGGAAATTTATTCTGATTTGCTAAAATTTCATTCAACATTCCAACTCATTTAAATTCTATACAGATATAAATTTATAATTTTTGAGCAGCAACATTGATCGGTTATGCTCAGAAGATATTTTATAATATTATAATTGAATATGAAAAGATGCCTCACTTGTTTTAATATCATATTCAGTTTCGAATAAACTGTAGACTGATTTAGAATCATCCATCCAGTTATTCAGTTCAGTATTATCATTTTTGATTATTTCTGAAATCATTGTTGAAAGTGTCTATGATTTAAAAAATGCAAACATATGCAAAACTGGGGAAATATTTCAGATAAATTTTATAGACATATTACATTTGGCTAAAATATAATTATTGCTATACATTTCTGTATTTGTAGCAATCAATCGATCATTTTAAATAAAATTTCATATCATACTTTCATTAATATATGCATTGTTAACAGTCAGCTGATCATTTTCCGTATTTTCTTCACGTTTTAGAATGCCAATTTTGAGAGGGGATATGAATAAACGTCCATCACTGCTGTCTCCATTATAATTATTAATATTAAATGATAATGCTGAACTAATTGATGAGGTATTGGGAGTAAAACAAGCGCTATCTCCGGGTAGTAGTAATAATTGTTCTGCAGTTGATGGTGGTATTGAATAAGTCATATTATTATTGGTAATTCCCGTAGTTTTGTTTACAATTCTTGTCATCACAAATTTATTTAATATGAGTTGCTGTAATGAGGAAAATAATTAATTCAGTTTTTAAGAAACCTCATCGGATATCAACAATTGGATATTATTGCTATAAATTTTAAAATACGAATATTATTTTTGAGTTTCTCCAGTTTGTAATGGCTAATACAATGAGTATTTTGTGTCGTCAGGGAAATTTTGTTTTGACGATAACTTTAAATGATCAGGTTAATTTAACCAAAGTATGCCAATATCATATAAATATAAGTAACCTGACCGATTATAAAGGCGCATTAATTCACAATGACGAATGGATGTTAATTTATACTTTATGAAATAGCAATTTCATCATGAATCATTTTCATCATGAATCAATCGATGTAGCTTTCCCTACTTCTAGTCAAATCTATTTTATATCATTCATATATATTTGAAACAGAAATAAAACGAAATTTCTTTGGCGACACAAAATACTCATTGTGATTAAATTAAATTCTTTCATCGCATACTATATTACCTTCATTTTGGTATCGTAAAGCTTCCATCAATGCTTTTTGGTACCATAAACATTGAGGGCTTTCAGCTTATTTTGGTACTACAAGTCATCATTGAGGGTTTCTACATGCCTAAAAAATCGTATAAGAACTTTGCCGTATGATTTTTTAATAAATAATATATTACTTTTGCTCTAATAATTTTGTTTAATTTTAGCACTTCATAAATATCATTAAAATTATATCGTTATTATAAAGAATTTGAGGAAATTTTTAAAACACTTTTTCATATATAATTTTTTTTAACCCAATTTTTGATTAATGTTTGTTTGTTCTTCAACAAATTTTTGACAAATTAAATTCTGTTTTTAAAAAAATTAAAAAATTTGTTGCAATATGCATTCAAAATATTCCCGCATAAAGTTTATCTTCTTAACAGATCTTATAGGTGATCAATGATCAAGCATGCAAGAAGATAATGACAATGACAATCATATGCACAAAGACGATTATTAAAAAATTTTATTAAATGATTAATAAATTTCATTTAAAAAATATTAAAAAAATAGTTCGTTATGCAAATGATAATAACACTTACTTTAAAAAGAAAATGAATAGGAGAGGAAAAGTTATGCTATTAAAAAAGTGAACATAGAGAGATGTATTTAAAGATTATACGTATTTTACGTATATCTATAATAAAAAAAAACACACACACACATACACGGAAGAATTGATTTAAAAAGGAAAGTAAAAAATGCAATAAATTAAACAAAGCCAGTGATTTGAAATTAAGTAGAAAACTATTTTAAAAAAGTTGAAAAGAAGAAAACGCCCGGCGAAACGGCGATAAAATGAATGAAATAGGATGTTGTCATCATTAGCTAAGATAGGGGATACATTTTTTTGGCATTAATAAATTTTATTCTAAAATTGGATAAAATTTCAAATTAAATTCAAGATTTCCATTAAAACATTCCAATATTTCGCTCTAATATGCAAATGAAAAATACATATCAGAAAGAATGGAAAGATGACATTTATGAGATTAATTCTGCAAGATAATATGCTGCAATTAATTATTACAATAGCTATGGGAGGTGTTAATTATTAAATAAATTGCAACAAAACATAATTCGTAATGCTAAGCCTTACTTCACATTTAAATTTCAATTTTACTACGAGAGAATTTCCAAATGCTTTTTTCGCATGAACATCAATTACATAATTGCCGTGGAAAAAAAAAAGAATCAACATTGCTTGACTAATTTTTATTTTTAAAGATCAAATTTGATAAATTTTAGTTTTTAAAATAATTTTTCTTCCTTCTTTCCGCTTATTAAAAAATAAAAAACAGTCTGATGAAACATGACAGTATGTTACTGTTTATTGTCTAATTCAGGCAAATATTTCGTATAAGAACGTAATACAAAACTTTTTTCAATATTTCAATTATTTAAAATGATTTAAAAAAGTATGCAACAAATGTATGTGAAATATACGAATGACTAATTCATATTTCATCAAACTGGCAATAATTAATTAACGGCGGCAGAATAAGCAACGAAGAATTGAAAGTACAAATGATGCAAGCATCATTACTGCAACCACTGCCAATACGACAATAACCCATGTCTGTAATGCAATAATAAATTCATATTAGCATTAATTTATCTCTTTTAATATATCAAAAGTTTTTTTTTTCCAAAAAAATAAACAGAAAAGCAGGAAAAAATTACCAATAAAAGATATGTATGAAGATTAAGTTAAAAAATTTAACCTGCAGATTGAAACAACATTCTTTGTTAGCTGCACCGCAACATTTGTAGTAATGAAAAATGCTTGATGCAGGACATTGTGTACCGATGACCGGTACTGGACACCATGTTGCTCCATCCTACAAAATAAGCATACATGGAGAGTGGAAATATTTCTTTTTGATATGACAAAATTATAATCGGA